TCACAACTATGTGGAGGAGACCGCCATCCCGACGATCATGCAACAATCCTCAAACTTCCCTCTTGGCAAAGCTTTAGTCATCATGTCGGAACCATTATCATTGGTATGGATCTTTTCAAGTTCAAGCAACTTAGAATCCAACACATCTCGAATCCAATGATACCTCACATCAATGTGTTTAGACCGACCATGAAATGTAGAATTCTTGCCAAGATGAATAACACTTTGACTGTCGCAATAAAGCACATACCTCTCTTGAGCACAACCAAGTTCCCCCAAAAATCTCTTCATCCAGATCAACTCTTTGCAAGCTTCAACAGCAGCAATAAGCTCAGCCTCTGTAGTAGATAAAGCAACACATTTTTGCAACCTTGATTGCCAAGACACAGCTCCCCCTGCAAAAGTAATCAAGAAGCCTGAAGTAGACTTACGAGTATCAACATCACCAGCCATGTCTGAATCAGTGTAACCACAAAGAATAGGCTTCCCTGTACCAAAACACAAACTCAAACTAGAAGTGCCACAAAGATATTTCATAATCCATTTAACAGTATTTCAATGCTCTTTTCCCGGATTAGAAAGAAAACGGCTAACAATACTAACAGCATGAGCAATATCTGGTCTTGTACACACCATCGCATACATCAAACTACCAACAGCTGAAGCATAAGGAACTTTCTTCATATCTTCCTTCTCACCATCACTAGCTAGAAGGACAATGTCTAGTACTCAATTTGAAGTGCATAGCTAAAGGTGTATTGACAACCTTAGCTTTGTCCATGTTAAATCTACGAAACACTTTCTGAATATACTTTTCTTGTGACAACCACAACTTCTTGGCATCTCTATCACGGACAATCTGCATGCCAAGAATTTGCCTTGCTAGTCCCAAGTCTTTCATAGAAAAAGACTTATTCAACTCTTGCTTCAACTCTTTAATCATGCAAGCATTATGACCAACAACAAGCATGTCATCAACATAAAGCAAAACGATAATAAAGTCACCATCAGAGAATTTTTGCACAAAAACACAATGGTCTGAAGAAGTCTTCTTGAAGCCCTGCTGACTCATAAAAGAAACAAACTTCTTGTACCATTGCCTGGGAGCTTGTTTTAAACCATACAAGCTATTCTTCAATTTGCAAACATACTTCTCTTTTCCCTTGACTTCAAAGCCTTCTGGCTGCTCCATATAAATTTCTTCATCCAAGTCACCATGGAGAAAAGCAGTTTTAACATCCATTTGTTCAACCTCTAAGTCCAGACTTGCAACCAAGCCTAGAGCCACACGAATGGATGACATCTTCACAACTGGAGAGAATATCTCATCAAAATCAATCCCTTTTTTCTGGCTAAAACCCTTCACAACTAATCTAGCCTTGTACCGTGGAATTGGGTTACCATCTTCATGTTTAACTCGGAAAATCCACCTGTTTTTCAAAGCTTTTCGATCTTTAGGTAACATAACCAAATCGAAGGTATGATTATCATGTAGAGACTTCATTTCATCCTCCATAGCATCAAACCACTTTTCTTTTTCTTCACTTTCCATGGCCTCATCAAGACTCCCTGATTCTCCCCCATCAGTCAAGAGTACATACTCATTGGAAGAATAACGAGATGAAGGTATTTTCTCTCTAGTAGATCTTCTGAGAAAACTCTCTGGAGCATCAATAATAGTTGGTTGCAGACCAACCACATCGTCTTGCACTGGAGCATCAGCAGCATACTGGTCATTCTGAATATGATCACCATCTTCAATATCAACTTGATTTTCATGAAGATTTTCACCTGGTGGAATAGTCAAAGGCACTGGATCAACATCAGCTAGGCTATCACTACTCTGAGAATCAACTTTGTCAAGATCTTCAATTGTTTGGTCTTCAAAGAACACAACATCACGGCTTCTAACAAGTTTCTTCTCAACTGGATCAAAGAAACGATAGCCAAATTCATTTTGACCATAACCAACAAAGATACATTTCCTAGTTTTAACATCTAACTTTGACCTTTCATTCTTAGGAACATGCACAAAGGCTTTACACCCAAAAACTTTAAGATGATCATAAGAAACATTCTTACCAGACCAAACTCTGTCAGGGACATCACCATTCAAAGCAACAGTAGGAGATAAATTGATAACATATGCAACAGTATTAAGTGTTTCTGCCCAAAAGGAATCTGGCAGCTTAGCATCTGAAAGCATACATCTAACTCTCTCAACAAGAGTTCTATTCATCCTCTCCGCCAAACCATTTAGTTGAGGAGTCTTTGGAGGAGTTTTCTGATGCCGAATACCCTGCTCTCTGCAATATCTATCAAAGGGGCCAATATACTCACCACCATTATCAGAACGAATGCATTTCAATTTCTTCCCTGTTTGTCTCTCAACCAAGGCCTGAAAACTCTTGAACACATCAAGTACCTGATCCTTGGACTTCAAAGAGAATACCCAGAGTTTGCGTGAATAATCATCAATAAAAGTCACAAAATAAAGTGCACCACCATAAGACCTTACCTTAAAAGGACCACACAAATCAGAATGTACCAACTCCAGCAAATCAAGCTTTCTTGAAGGCGGATGACTCTGAAAAGAAACTCTCTTCTGTTTACCTGCTAAGCAATGAACACATTTGTTCAACTTTGCTTGTTTCACTCCAGAAAGCAAATTCTTCTTAGCCAAATTGTTCATCCCCTTCTCACTCATATGACTCAGTCTTCTATGCCATAACAATGATGAAGTATCATTCTCCACCAAATTTATTGAGCCTCTAAAAGTGGAGCTCTGAAAAACATACAAGTTAGACAACTTATCACCACGGGCTACAATCATCGAACCTTTAGTAAGCTTCCACTGGCCAGCACCAAGGGTATTAACATAACCCTCATCATCAAGGTATCCCACAGAAATCAAATTCAAGCGAATATCTGGAGCATGTTTGACATTATTGAGAACTAATTTGGAACCATTGTTACTTTCCAAACAAACTGTCCCAATACCAAGAACTGCAACCTCATGATTATTACTCATTTTCAACATCCCAAAATTACCTGGAGTATAAAAAGAAAATAATTCCTTCTTGGGCGTGACATGAGAAGTAGCACCAGAATCCACAAACCAGCTAGACTCATCACGAACAAGATTGACGGCATTTTCATCACAAGAAACAAGAAGACATCATTAGCAACAACATCAACACGATTTTCATTGTCACCTTCTTTATTTTGTTGTCTCATATCTCTCTTGTACTTAAAACAAAATTTCTTGATATGCCCATTCTTGTGGCAATAGTCACATGTAACATTCTTGTATTTAGACCTTGACTTACCTCTACTTTTATCTCTGTCACTCTGACCTCTGAACTTGTTTCTACCCCTATCTTCAGTAACCAAAACATCAGAGTGTGAAGTAGAAGAAGTTGAGCCTTGAGATCTTCTTCTCATCTCTTCATTCAAGACACCACTCTTAGCATATTCCATGGTCACAACACCACTGGGAGCAGAATTAGTCAAAGAAACTCAAAAAGTTTCAAAAGAGTCTGGCAGAGTATTAAAAAGCCATAGTCCCTGTATTTCTTCATCGAATTTTACATTCATTCCAGATAGCTGGTCAAGAACACCCTGAAAATCATTAATATGATCAGAAATAGGAGTGCCCTCTTTATACCTGATATTCATCAATTGTTTCAATAGAAACAACTTATTGTTGCCAGTCTTCGAAGCATATAGCGTCTCGAGCTTGTCCCACAAACTTCTGGCATGTGTCTCATTCACAATGTGATTTCGAACATTATCTTCAACCCATTGTCTAATATAGCCACAAACCTGCAAGTGCTCAAATTCCCATTCCTCATCTGTCATGGATTGGGGTTTATTAGAGGTAAAGACAGGTAAATGCATTTTCTTGACAAATAGAAGATCTTTCATCTTGCCTCTCCAAATATGATAGTTACTACCATTCAAACAAACCATCTTGCTCATATTTATCTCCATAATTCAAATCAATAATGAACAACAACCAATGCTCTGATACCACTTTGTTGGGAAAGACAAGGCACTAACAAGAATGTCAGACAGGATAACAGCGGAATAATACCCAAATCTAAACTTTCCCTTTCAATTTGAACCAAGAGAAGACAAACCAAATTAAGCAATATGAAGAATGGACAGCAAGTATATCAATCAAACTAAAGCGACAAGATAAGAATAACCCAATCACACAAGACATAACGATTTACGTGGAAAACCCTTCGATGTGAAGAGTAAAAAACCACAGGACCAAAAGCTCCACTATAAACACCAAGAGTTACAAAATTGTTCTCCAAAATTGGCCACAAAACAAGTGCCAAACAACGAGCAACAACAAATCAAGATTGCACAAAAACTAGAGAATTAAAGAAGAGATTTCACCCAAAAACGCGCTACTGTTCACTCCCCAAAATCAGAAGCTACAGACCTCCAAATCCGATCTCCACCGTTGAATTGCAAGAACCAGATGCTGAGAACTCCCAGTTCAAATTTGAGCACGATCCAATGGTTAACGAAGCAGCAAATTCTGTCTGAAGTGGACTGCCTGAGCAGAAAATTTCCAGAAGCAAAAAAGGGATTTTTTCTCGTTTTCTCTCAATCTCTAAAACGAAACTCTCTTGATTTTTCTCTCTTGTGTTTCTGAAAATAAGACCAAATAAGCCTTATATATGCCACATAATATTTTGGGTTATGGGCTTAAGTGGGCTAGTCCTAATAAGACTTTTATTTATCCACATAGGAAGGGAAAAAAGATCATAAACCCAATAATAGGCATCCGTCACTAGTTGAAATATAATTATTACTATAGATATTTTTTTATAATAAATAATATAGGATTAATAGATTTTGAATTATTTATTTTTTAGAAAAATTAGTAGTCGTGGACTAACCACAACGAAATACCAAACAAAATAACGGAATTTTAATTCCCAATTAAGGAAAAAATGGATATGGATATTTTTTCTCTTCTAATAGCTGCCACTCATCCAATCCACAAATTTCCCTCTCTTCTATGAGAAGCTGAATTGAACTCTTCCCATTTTTCTCCGTTCATCTTCGCCGGAGAAATTTTTCCCATGGCGAAAACTTTGATATCATCTCCGTCGTCGTTCATCGGAACTCCTTTGCCGTCGCTCTCTCGCCATGTATTTCACCGGCGAAGGCTTATCTCTACTAGAGTGAAATTCAGCTTCCATGGCCTTCCCCCGATTCACTCGCTTCACTCTCATTTTGATTTTGAAGCTGTTGTAAGCCGAGCGGAGGGACTTCTCTATACGTTAGCTGATGCTGCTGTCGCGGCTGATCCTGGTGTTGCTTCCGATGTTACTGCCGCCGGTACTGCTCAGAAAAGTGGTGGTTGGTTTGCTTTCATTTCTGACGCCATGGAAGTTGTGTTGAAGGTTAAATTTTGTTACACATACTTTTGAACTAATTACGATCATTGTTACTGCCTTTTAGATTTTATATAAGTTGGGCATATTCATAATAATGATTTCACTTGCTTCCTTGTGTATTTATTTCATGTTTATATAGTTTTTTAAGTTTAAGATTAGGAATGAAGATATTTGGAGAAGGTAGGAGAGGTGAACAACTTGAGGGAAGCCGTAGAAGTCCTAGTGAGAAGGTGTGAGGGTTGGCAATAGCGGGCATTAGGAGAGGTAGAGGCAGGCCGAAGAAGTATTGGGATCTAGTATTGTTTGACATCATGTTTCCTACTATTTCCTACTAAGATTTTGTCTAGCTACTAAACAATAACTATTTAACTTAAGTAAAATTTTATGAATTACTTTATCTGGATAGTTGTTGTTTGTGTTTACAGTTATTACTCTTGACTTATACAGGTATTCTATTTTTCTCCTCATTTGCGCCTTTATTCATTAAAGTCCACACTTTATTTATGCTTTGCAGTTAAAGTTCTAACAAACCTGAGGGTATGTTTCTTTTAAATTTATTTTTGCTTTTCACCTTAGTAACACTTGAAGTAAACTAACCTTTCTTTTTTGGATTTTTTTCTACCTATTGAAAAACTTCTCTATTAAATTTTGTCATCTTTCATGTTAATACAAGTCGACAACCAGATTTTCCCCCTTATCATACCATCCACTCTCCTCCTCCCCTTCTGTCTTTCCTCTTAAATAAAGAAAAAGGAATTTAGTGGATGCTGAATAAACCTTATCAAGATTATCATAGGACAACAGGTTGGTTGTCTTCAGTAGATCACATGGCGAAGCACAAGTACTGAAGCTTATTTTGTTTCAGTTCTAGATGCATTATCTTTTGGTTTTAGTTTTAAAAAGACCGTCTTTTTGCAATACTGGTACTATTATGCCTCATGTACTCTATATTCACTCATTCACTTTTCTCTTTTCAGGTAATGAAGGATGGACTGCAAACTGTGCATGTGCCTTATTCCTATGGATTCGCAATCATATTGCTTACTCTCCTGGTTAAAGCTGCCACTTTCCCTTTGACAAAGCAACAGGTGAGCCTGTGATGCAGTTGCTGCTAGACCTGGATGTTATAGAGTTGGTCTGATATTTCAGGTCTTGCCACTTAGTTACGTCTGTCTAGTATTATTAATAGTGCAGTGGAATGAGAACTTAAATTAATAGAACTGATTGTTTTGTCAAACTCAAGTCAACAGGAGTCCCCTGTTCCTTTATTCCTCATTAATCGTTAAATCACTGCAATGGAGTTATTGCTGATGTATGACATTATGTCATTTGAAAGGTTGAATCAACTTTAGCAATGCAAAATCTCCAACCAAAGATCAAAGCTATTCAACAAAGATATGCTGGAAATCAGGTGCGCTCAAATTCATGTTGATTGATACTTTCTGTTTCATCTAAACTTCTTTTCAGAACTATATGACCTTCCAAATTTGACTTATGTATGTGTATTCTTTGGTACTGAGTGCTGTAAAAAAGAGTGAAGTATTAGCAAATTGATATTGTAACTGTTACAACTTGCTTGTTAGATTTCAGATTAATATGGGTACTTCAGAGTTTTATTATTTTGTGTGGCTATAGTATTACTTCTCTTATCAAAAGAGAAAAGGGCATTGCTTATGGTGATAAAAAAACTTGTTCAATAAAAGGAAAGGTGTTTCTAATGTTGTGAAGCTATACTTACAGAATTATGATTATTGTTGTGTCCTTTCCATGAGGTGTTTAGAAAACAAACTTACATCTTTGATCTTGTCTTTCATTCAGGAGAGAATCCAACTTGAGACTTCACGTTTATATAAGCAGGCAGGGGTCAATCCTCTTGCTGGTAATTTTTCATTCTTGCAGTCAGCGGTCTCTTCTCTAGTTATGCTTCCATTTGCTATTTCTGTTTGATCTTCTTAGTTGGTTTAAAGCATTGGGCATATATGTTGTAAGAAACTTGCCATGGCTTTCTTTCCTAGCTAGTAGTGAATCACAAATTGTATCTCCTGGAGTTGTAAGAGCCATATAATCAGTTAAAGAATAAGGTATCTGTTGATTCATAGTTTGTCCCTCTGTGGTCTAGTTTTTGCATTGTTAGTCTTATTTTAGTACATCTTAGAACTGGTTGCCTAGTGATATTCTTCCTTCCAGAATTTGTTTGATCTGGATTTCAGTTTTATTCCTTTTCAATCTCTGGTGTCTGTGGCATATGAAGTTGTCATTAAGTTAGTTCCTCATTCATAGCTCTCAATTCATCAACTCCCTTTTTCCTTATTTTTTGGGGGGTAAGTCTGATATTTTATTCCGTCGAAGCAGCACAATATGGAACTGAGGAACTCTAGTACAAAAACTCAGTTGCCATTTATGAATGTATGGAACTGAGGAACTCCAGTAATGCGTCTTCATCTAAACATTTACTCCCTCCGTCTCAATTTATGTGGCACCCTTTCCTTTTTAGTTTTTCCCAAAAGAATGTCACCTTTCTATAATTAGAAACAGCTTAACTTTAAAACTCCCTTTGTACTCTTAATGAATATGATTTATAGCCACATAAATGTCTTAAGGTTCGCTTAGACCACAAATTTCAAAAGTCTTCCTTTCTTTCTTAAACTTTGTGCCAAGTCAAACACTACCACATAAGTGCAACTTTTGACTTAGTTTACACAATGGTTGGAAAACCATAGATGATCATGAACACCAAACTAGTTCCTCAATGCCAGAGAACACTGATCTATGAACTTAAATTTGCTTTTTAATGTATTTCATCTCCTGTTTTAATTCAAATGATAAACAATAGCTTTAAGTTAGTCAACCTCTTCTTTCTTATGTATCCTAGCGATAGTCCTTCGAGGCTATGTGTTGTAAAAGAAGAAAGGGTTTGGCTTGTAAGAAGCAAGGGCTCCCAACTACTTAGCAACATGCGGTATGTTTTCAGGTGCAGTATCCGATGAGCTGTCTGGCCAATAGCTGCATTGAAGTGGTTATAAATGGCATAAAAAAATTCAACTTTATGCCCAAGGGTTTAAGTCTTATGCGAACACCACTATTCTAAAACATATGATGAATTGAAATATACACTCAATTACTATGCCTTTTTAGTTGTGACAGAGAGTTAGTAGAGCTAAGGTATGCTGTTAAATATGCATTGACTTGAAGCTTAACTGCATCATTAATGGGCAGGTTGTCTCTTCAATAAACCTCCACAAGGTTAATGAGCCCACTGCAATATAAAAACTACAAATTGTTTGACATGTGCTAATTGTAGCATATCGACTAACTGCAATTTTCAATGCCAGTTATTAAGAGACCATGCCATAAAAAATAATGAGTGCTGTGAGCTTCTGTATGGTTTGGATTTATATTTTGTTCCATCGTAAGTTTGGCTTCCATGTACTGAATGTAGCAAGTCCTTGCATTTCCATTGTGGTTTATCTTTTTCTTTTTTTGTGGTTACACTATAACAGGATGTTTCCCAACTTTGGCTACTATACCTGTTTGGATTGGTCTTTATCAAGCCCTCTCCAATGTGGCAAATGAGGTACTGAAGAAGTTAGTATTATTGTATGTTCTTACTTATTGATTCAAACAAATAATGAGTTTATTTACCTTTTTTCATTCTGAAAAAGGGATTGCTGACTGAAGGTTTCTTTTGGATCCCTTCTTTGGGAGGCCCGACTACTATAGCTGCTCGACAAAGTGGATCTGGAGTTTCTTGGTTATTCCCATTTGTGGTCAGTGTCATATCCTAATTACACCTTTATACCATGTCTGAAACTTTATTTTGAGTAATCTTCCTAATCTCAAAGAGGATGGAGCAATTCCCGCTTTCATCTCGCCAAATTGTCTTTCCTATAAATTCTTGGGCCCAGAAGATAAATCCGCTTGTAATACTAAGTACAGTTTAGTATGATTGCGGACATGAAATCTGTTGACATTTTCAGGATGGGCATCCGCCTTTGGGTTGGCATGACACGGTGGCTTACCTCATTTTGCCTGTCCTGCTAATTGTTTCACAATATGTTTCAATGGAGATAATGAAACCTCCCCAAGTATGATTCTGAATTTATTGTCCAGCTTATTTCCTTCTGATCCCAATTTATGGGTGCTTCTGTCATGTTATATTGAAATCCTTGATATCTTTTCTTAGACAGATGATCCGTCTCAAAAGAACACACTTCTGGTTTTCAAGTTCCTTCCGCTCATGATTGGCTATTTCTCTTTGTCTGTTCCATCAGGGTTAACAATTTACTGGTGAGCTCTTACTTAAAGGAATAATGTAATATTGCCTCTGATACAGAATTACAGTATTGGTCTTAAACAAATATGTTCCTATGAACATGCTGATGTGAATTATCATTTTTATTAATGAAAACTATATTACTCTGCAGTTTAGTAAATTGCAATTTGCTATTCACTTGTTTCCAGTGACCTCATCACTGAATGAGATGAGAGGATAAAGAAATTTTGTTGCTGCCTTTATACACATAGATATCCTTATACTGTCTTAGCGCTTTCATACTTTCCGTTGAAAAGACATGTCAAAATAGTTGCTCCATATCTCTTCTATTTGTTTTTCTTTTAAGTTCTCTCTCATCATTGAGGCAACAAATGACAAATTATCATGCTTCTGCCTTTTATCTCTTTATCTCAAAAGTAGATTCTTGTTCTGGATATTATAATCAATGAAGCAAGATGATTTTCTTAACCTGTGCCTTTTATGTTGAATTTCAAGGTTCACAAATAATGTGCTGACCACAGCACAGCAGGTATGGTTGCGCAAGTTAGGTGGTGCAAAGCCTGCTGTGAGTGGAGATGCCGGTGGTATCATCAGTGCTGGACGTGCAAAGAGAACTACCTCTCAACCTGAACAATCCGGAGAGAGGTGTGTATAATACTTCAAAGTTAATCAACTTTACAATGTCTACCTAGCTAACAAGAAAGTTTATGGAAACAGATTCAGGCAGCTAAAAGAAGATGAAAAGATGAAAAAGTCAACCAAGGCACTCCCTACAGATAAGGTTGAACTTTCTGCTTCTATATCTGATTCCGAGGACGAACAAGATGATGACACCAAGCCCAAGGTAAATGTCAAATTGTTGTTTTGCATATGATCTCTGCTGACAAGTTCACCCGAGACATGTTTGCATGATTAAATTTAGTTGTTAGTCGAATATGAAATGGCATGTCAATAACAATAAAAGACGTGGATGGCTTTCAGCCTAATAAGGCACGGCGATTTATTGCATTACACAAGTTCTCTGTCTGAAAGTACTATTCTTCCTTTTTTTGACTTAAAATGCAAGTCAAAGTCTAAGAAGAGAACATTTGTGTGAGAGTGAAAAGAAATACTACCCAACAAAGAGGAACAAAAGAAAAGAGACAGATTCACTTTGTGAGAGTTGGAAAGGGTCATAGTTTTTATTTCTTGTCATTCCGTAGGTTGGTCTTCCATTTTCTAAGGGTGCTTGAGTACATTTCTGAACTAGCAAACGACATATATTGGCAAAAATATCGCTACAGAATCCGTACTCTAACACTATTAGACAAAAGTTGCATGTGATGATAACATAGATGTAATTTTGTAGTTGCTGTCTGAAAATAGATCTTTCTCCAGTTGATTGGAGTTTGTTTTTGATTAGGAGTGTCTTGACTTCTCTAATCATTAATCCAGTGGTTCTGCTTTTTGGTAAATTGAAGTGCATGAAGACACATATGCTCGATATTTGTGGTCTAATAGTGTATTACATTTATAGATCCCAATTTTCTGTGTCTCCTTATATATTTCTGGCTATTTTCCGTAATTCGTTTGCTTGAGGAGAGGCGGTTGAGGAAAGAATAAATTGAAAAATCTATGTCTCTAGTGTTCTGAATAATTTCTTTTCTCTGTAGCTTAAGCAAGGATTAATCAAAAATTCAATTTTAAATCAATAATCTTGAGCAAAAATGCATAGTGATTGGTTATGTGATCAAGCTGAAAGTTTGAAGGGCTTCACTCAAAGACTAGAGATATATGCATACGTAATTCTAAGCTCGTGGATACCTAAATAGCTCTGGAACATTTCAAAATCTTAATTGATTCAGTTTGATGAGGAGGGAAAGAATAATTTCTTAGTACCTCCAAGATGAGTTGTTTTATTTGGTGCTGCGTGGCAGACTTTTAAATTTTCAATTGGAAGGCACTGTTCTGAATATGAGCTTATATACTTGATAAATATTGGTTGCAGGATGAAGAAGTTCTGGAAGAGGCTTATGCTTCTAGCAGTAGTAAAGAAGTTCCAAATTACTCAGGGCCAAGGAAGAGTAAGAGATCAAAAAGGAAGCGTGCTGTGTAAAGTGGTAAATCAATTCTTAGCTGTCAGTTTAACTTGTATATTCAAATATGTATTTTAGTTAGTGTATAGTGGCCATTTTCATGTCGGTCATCTATTTAATGGCTACCTGCCAAATGACGAGAACCTGATAAGTATGCAAAAGTGAATTCACGAGCTTTCAAAGCACCAGCTTAGCAAGCAGAAGCTAAATTTATCATATTGCTTTCATGTGTAACTTGTGGGCTTTCTTGTACCAATCCTCCTGCAAACAGTAACCATGACTTAAGCTAACAATAAGTTTGTTTAATGAGAGGGTTTGATCAGAACCATTTAATTTTAAGCTGTGGGCCTAAGCTTTCCTCTATTTTACTCATTAGTTGCCTACTTTCCTCTGCATCAATGATGCCTACCGTGGAAGTGGTTTTCTTTCCTTACAAGATTAGTTTGCTTTTTGTAGTATCCTGGTTAGAGTTCGTCTTCACAAATGGACTTCGGTCTGGTCCCCTGGGAGTTTGTCTCAGGGTAAGAATGCAGCAAATGATGTATGGGCTAGGTGCGGATCAGGGCTTCGAATCCGGCTGCCGACTAAAGTCTAGTATTTTAAGTGGAGAAGAGTAAGGAGAGCATTATTGATAGAGTTTCGAACCACGTACCACCGACCCTCATTGATTTATCGGATATCAAAAAAAGGAGCTTCGGTTTGGCGACCAGCTTATGCAAAACGTTTTCATTTTGTTAATACCTTGAAAATGCCATGTAGAATTAATACTTTTTCAGTGTTTATAGAGAACTAAATATTGATATTTATGAATTTTGATAGTATTGTTTGCAGTGAGCACATTAGAAGTGGAGCAACAAGGACTTTAGACTAGACAACATTACTCTTCCGACAATTCAGTTGGTGAAGGTTAATAAAGTTCCAATCTCAAAGATATCCCAGTGTTTGTACAAGCAAAATAACCTAAATCTTAGATCTTCTAACTATTAGATATATGTCTAACCTCCAACTCTCAGCAAATATCATGATTTCGTACGGCTAGCTTGTTCTTTTGCTCATAGCATTGATGGCAGGCGACAATTTCTAGTTGGCTTTGGCCCAGTAGTGGTATATGGATCCTTCTTGTATATTCCCTGCTTCACAACAGTTTGATAAGAGACAACTAAAGCAAAAGAGAGACTACACACTTTAGTTGGCAATTTAACTTGTATATATGACACATGTATCTTAGTCTGTGTCTAGTGCCCCTTTTTTATGCCGGTCATATATTGGAGGACTATTAGCTAAATGAAGAAAGCTGCTGAGTTGGCAAATTGGTTAAGATTTACTCAGGCTCTTTTAAGTTTTATGGCGAGCTTAGCTAGGAAAAGCTAAATTTTTCCATATTCGTTAATGTGTAGCATGTGGGCTTTGTTGTTCCAATTATTGTACGAATATTAACCACGACTTGAGTGGGCAGTAGTGTGTTCTGATGCATCAAAGTTTGCAGTAAGGTGGTGGCAGCATAGAATTTTAAGCATCTGGCCCAAGGTTTTCTTTATTTTGCTTCATTAGTCATTACAATAATCCTAATCCCTATCTCTCAATTCCTGATGCTAGCATGCAAATCGTTCTCTTGTGACCTACAATATTAAGCTTGGTTTCCTAGGTGCTCAGTCTTAAGTTGGCCTTCAGTAAATGAGTTTTGGTTTCACTTTTAGATTTTACTCAAAATTGTCTTGATCTTGTTGAGATTTGAGAATGGTCTGTGGAATTTTTACTTTTTTAAGAACTAGATATTGATAGTCGTAAATTGACAACATTGCTTGCAGTAAATCATACTAGGTGTGAAGTCTAAGGACTATAGATTAGATAAAGACCAGTTTTCTATACTGCTTAGTAAATGAAGGAAATGTAATTCCAATCTGATGAAAGGATATCCCACTGTTTTTACAAATAGCCTAAATATGAAATTGTCTAACTAATACATATATGTCTAACCTCCAATTCGATAATTGTGGTCTCATATGACTAGCTCATTCTTCTGTTCATGGCCTGATGGTGGACGATGATTTCCAGTTGGATTTGGCCCTTGATGGTGGACGATGATTTCCATTTGGATTCGGTCCAGATGGTGGTTTATGAATCTTTTCATACTTCCCCTGCTCCAGAATAGTTTGATTAGAAACTGCATGCATAAACTAGTTCAGAATAGAGACTCCATACTAGTAAGACTTACCAAATTAGCAAGAATGTGTCCTCTTGTTGATCTCAATGTGTAGAACACTGAGCTTTTATTGGACTTAACTGCGATAGAGAAGCTAGAGTTAAGACCCATTGATATACTTGCCTACTAAAATCACATAACTGTTTTGTATAGGAAATCCCGGAGTTGAAGAAACTAGAAAAAACACGACTTGCTTCAGCTACCACATCAAGAAAATAGCGCATCACAGTCATTTATTAGTGTTTCATTAGCAGTGAAGAGTCGTAAACTTGCCTGCTTTTATAGCTTGAGCCATGGGAATGAAGTTATACTCATGTGCACATATTGTCGATATGAGAAGAAGGTAGAGAAGGAGTTCTGTTCTCTTCATCTTTAGCATTGGAATGTTGAAGATGGATGGGTGCAGCAGAAGGTGAAGTTATAAGTGGGGAAATGATTTCCAATATAGGTAGCATATAATTGGTAATCATTACTAATCTTGAAAACATGGATTGTTAGATAAAGTTGCTGGGGTATCCTATGCCCATTTTTATGTAACAAGTGATAACTTGAGGAATTGCTGGCTCTCTTCTCATTGTGAATTGACTTCTTGCTCAGTCATCATTGTGTCCATGATGAATTACAAGCCATCGCATTATTCACCTCTTAAGTGCTCTAACCATGCTGTTGCCTTTGTCTGCCTCTCCCCCCACCACCCACATCAAGTGCTCCATTTAGTTTCTTTTTTTGTGTGGTATGAGTGTCAACAGGTAATATTAGATCAATTCTAGAAAATATGTACATAAAATATCGAGTTTTGTAGAGAAATAATTTCACGTGCACCATAATTTTCAAAGTAAATCCGCTTATGTATACTTCCCCTCCATCCCATCACCCAAACTCAGCTCGAGGGTTGCTTAAAATGCATTTGAGACTTATAGGTCGTTTGGTAGGGGTAGAGTAGCACTAAATAAGGTGGATTAGTTATGCCGGCAATATTTCTTATCAACGGTTTGGTTTGTTGTATTAGATGAATAGGGTGTATTATGAATTACTAAATGACTAGGGTGTGTTAGAATAAGAATAGTACTACTGAATACAGTGTATTAGAAAATGAATAGTATTGGTATTGTTAATGTCATTATTTACTTCTAAATAAACTTGATAGACCTTACGGATTTACTAGTAGAAGTTTTCTTGATAATACAGAGATGATGATCTTCCTCTGATATCTCCAATCTGGTTATGCAAGAGATATAATTATAAACAGTCATGAATGATTGAATTACGAGATTCTTCTAATGAACTAAGAGAATTTTATTTATAAAATTAAACGGATAACAACAAACAAGGCTTCTTGCAGAAATTTTCGTGATCTCTATGGCCAGTTTTTAGCAATAAGAACAAGTAATTTTGGCTTTTCCACTATTATAATGTAACTAGTGAACTTGTCCGTTGTTCGCGCGGTTATAAAAGATATACACACAGTTTTATTAAATATTATTTCTTCTATTTCATATTAAATGAATTTTTAGACATTTTTTCATTGTTTAAACTAATCAAATTGTTCAAAGTTTAAGATAAATGTTTGAATTTTTTCCCTTATTAGTCCTTCCCTTTTAAGGTTGTACATTTTTCCAAACTCTTTTGAATAATGACTATTTTACTTTTAAAAATAACTTGGGAATAACCAAAAGAGAAATAGTGAAAAATATAATTTAATTTATGTCCTGCAATATTTTTCTTAATATAAAAGGAAGATGTATTTATAATATCATTGCTATGACCTTTATTGTTAAAAAATAAATAAATAAATTTATGAATTCTTTGTACAATCTTCTGAGTTCTTGTTGGCATTCACTTTCACAAGACTATTTATAGACTACAATATGAAATATCTAATAATGTACGGTGACTATTAATTATTTTAGGGGTTATAATAATAAAAAGTTATTAGAGTAATGAAAATAAAGACCATTAATTTTTACATTAAAAGATATTTCTATAAAACAACTAATATACTCACATATTTCATGTTAATCAATATTTGCTAGAAATATGATATAGAATTATGAGAATTTGTGATATAAGACGTGTATTTTGGAGTTTTTAATATAACACATGAATTAAAAAAAAAATACGAAGAATCACAAAAATGTGATATGATTTAGAATTATGAGAATTAAAGATCTAAGATATGTATTTTGGAGTTTTTGCTAAAGGACATGTTTTTTTTAAAAAAAAAAAAGACACAAAAATGAGAAAAAAAAGATTAAATGAGTTTTTTTTATCATAAAAATGTGACACATCACGTTGTCTATATCTATCTTTAATATATATTAGATAAAGACATAGATTTATGTTTGTGATTATTTTAATTAAATATATTTGTGAATATTTTAATTAAATATTTTGGTGAATATTTTGAATCGAATAAAGAGGAGAAGACAAAAAACAGTTCTTTTTAAAAAAAAAGCCGGATGACAATAAAGGTATTTGAAAGGTTATTAGGAAGACATTAATAGTGGAGTAATAGTCGCGAGAGAGAAAGTGTAGTGTAGCTATTTTTCTAAATTAAATTAGAAAAATATTTAAAAATTGACAAAAAAAGGTAAAATAAAGATCCTTGCCAAGGAAACATGCCACATCATTTTGTTCACATCCAGCTTTATATAGATATATTGATTTAAGTTACTTCTTTCAAGATTAAAAGTCAAAATTTAACAAAAATAAGTGTTATGAAAGAATTTTATTGCAAAATCAAGAAATTCTTTCACGATGGAAGTCAATAAGCAATTGTGGGCAAAGGCAACATGGTTTTTTACCGTGTGAATTCAAATATAATCGATCCCAATGTGGATATCAGACACCAAATAACCAAAAACTTCAATTTTACGGTTGGATGAAATGAATCCTCATAATCTTTAGATGAAGTTTTTTTGGGAAAAAATTCTTTACCAACTTTATTCTGGGATTTATGGTTCACAAAAAATGAAACA